AATTTCCACGGCACATTTTTTCTGAACAAATTAAGTATTTTAAAACAAAAATGAAACAATTGCAGAATTTACTCGTTTCACAAAACAGATAGCCTCCAATTGTGTTATTTAGCTTTACATCTATTCATTCAGAGAGTTGAATCAGGATTGTGTGGAATAATTTTAGTGAACTTAAGAACAATTCAGTTGATATTTCTTTCCATAACAATTCTTAAATCGCAATAGTTCCACTAACAGATTCAAAATTGTATCCAAAAAAACATCACATGAAATTAAAGGGAAAAAATGAAATTACGAGAGATAAAAAGAAAATGTTTCTGGTAGATTTTGTGCTTAAAACCTAAATAAACTCTGTCTTCAAAAAAAATATTAAGCACGTGCACAGGGAGATAATATGTGTATTTCTTCAAATTCTACCTTGACACAGCTAATATGCACACAAGCACACCAAACAAAATTGTGGCCTCATTGGCCAGAACTTCCAAAATCAAGGATCACAACCAATATTGACAGTTGAAAATGGTTGTCTAAAGGATAGTGATGTAGGAGAATGTAAAAATACCTCATACGATACATCAGGACCAGATAGGGATGAGACGGAAGGCGGCTGTCGAATAGTGACATTACGAATAGGACCGACGGCAGAGAGAATACAAACTGCCCGTGGCCCTTGCTCACAAAAGGCCATAATTTTTGCACCAATGTCCTAGAAACAAAGACATCCAGTAAGAAAAATTTGCAACAAAACCAAACATCATGATTGTGATAAATGAGTGAGCGATCATAGTTATACCTCGCCAGCTTCCGCTGATATTACATGCGGAGTAAAGCCAGTTCCAGAGATTCCTTAAGAAAAAATACAGGATCAAACCACGTAAAAAGCAAAGGTAGGGAAAAAGCGAAAAAGATAGAAAGATAGATACCGAGAGCGTCCATCTGTTTTTTTCCGGAACCAGGAGGACGTCCGCGGTGCTTCTTGGCGGGAGATTCCGCAGAAGAAGCGGCGGGATAATTTGGGACCAGGCCCAAGGCAATGTTGCCATCTGGAGAATATTTTCTGGGCCGGCCCCTTTTCTTCTTCGAGGACTCCGAGGAGCCCACTCCGAGCGCGCACGGCTTCAGCGCAGCCTCGCAGGAATGGTTGTCGTTGAGAGGTTCGGGAGGAGGTGGAGGAGGAGGAGGGTTGTGGTGGTGATGGTGGTTGTTGCTGATGAAAGGAAATCGGGCGGTGGCGGGGGCCAACATGGAAGGGTAGGAGGTGGGTCCCATCATCATGTTTGGCAATTGCGGTTGCTGGTGCGGTTCCCGAGAATCCATGACGGGTGAACGGAGAACAGAAGAGGAAAGCAAAATGCGGATCGCAGAGCGGTGGTGGGACCGGAATGCGTGGGGAAAAACAGAGATTGGATTTGATCGAAAAAGAACGCAGCGATTGGCGAAGGAGATGCGTGGGAGTTGAAGAATGAGAAGAAGAAGGAGAAGAAGACGAAGAGAGAAACAAAAAAGGGAGAAGAATATATATATAAGGAAGAGAATAAGAGGGGTAGAGAGGGAACACCCGAAGCGGGCTTTGGGCTGATAGTATTAATTTAGGGTTTTACTTTTAGATTTTGTTTTTATTCCCTCCCTTTTCCCAATTTATTATTCTTACTTTCCTCACACTTTCACAAGATTTCCATTTGGATATGATCTGATAGTTACCCATTTGCCGCTTCCTGTCAACTTCATCCTTCGCTTTCCATCCTCCTATTTCCTTCTCGCCATTTTTTTTACCTTTTTTTATTTATTTTTATTCGTAATTATAATATATTAAAACCATTTTCTCTTTATTTAATTAATCATGTTCATAAATGTTACTAATTACATCACAGACAATGCATTGAAAACATGTAGCACGTTCATGAAAAAAATTACTTCATTTAAACTAGTTGTTTTTTTACTCGTTTGATGTTTAATCTTTGTTATATCTAGGTGAATTATAAAAAAATGGTAAACGGACAGTTCTCATCATACTAAATATATAGATAATAAAAATCATATACTATTTAATGTTGTTGATGAATATTCTTTTATTATGTAAACTTATACCTGACATACTAGTATAGCATTTAATGCTAGTAATTATTTATATAAGTATATATTTTTTTATATAGTATTCGTAGAAGACCGAGTCATGGATGAACTACCCGTCAGAATAAATTTGATTAAATATAGTGTTGAAGTTTTATTTAACAAACTATTATTCTAATATGTCAGTCGTTTTTAAATTTTATTCATAATGTGTTGAAAATCGGTTATGGTAACATAACATGTTGGTTCAGAGATCTTTATCCCAAATATCTGCGAAGTTAAAGCATGGGTAATACCTAGTATCATTTACTAAAGTAGTGCGATTTTTTTATAGATGAATTTTTAAAAATTTACGAAAATAGATCGATTGTGTTTACGAAAGATAATTTTAAAATAAAATAAGAAATTGTTTTTTTTAAACACAATTTTATACGATTAAAAAATGAAAATGTACTTTTAAGTTACGATTTTAAAATTTTTATATCATTCTAAATAATTTCTATATTTTATTTCTCCGTTTCTATTATTTTATTTGTTTTTATTTCATTGTTGGAAATAATGTATGCGCATTAACAATTTTTTTACGGTTTTTAAAATATTTATATAAACATATATCTTTTATTCTTAATTGGTTTTTAGTAATTTGATTAATTGGTTTTTAAAATCTTTAAAACTTTTTATATTTTTAAATTTTCGTATAATCGTATATTTTTAAATTTTGAGATATTTATTTTAATAATTTAAAGTTGTTTGTAATCTTTTATATCTGTAAATATCTATAAAATAACATTTTATGGAAGTGATTTAAAATTAGTTAAATTTGACTATTTTGATATTAAAATTTTTTTAAATAAATGATTTTGTTATGAAAAAAAAGTATTATTTTAAATTATTAAAAATAAATTTAAAATAAAAATATTTGTATATAAAAAAAATTTAAAACGTAAAATATTAGAAGTTTCACGTGATTTACCGTATATAAATTAAACTTATTTATAAAATTGAGATAAATTTAAAATTTACTGATGTATAATTATTTTAATAATATAAAATGTGAAAAATCATTATCTAATATCATTATTTTTTATGTTAATGATATAAAATGTTAAAAATCATGGTTTAATATCATTATTTTTTCGCAACATAAAATCGTGTTTGATATAAAAGTTGAATAGAACTAATTATTTTGATATAAAAAATATTGGAAAATAAATTTTTTTGAATGAATACATGAAATATAATGTTTATATTAAACTTTAGTTACATGCAAATTTAAAATAGAGTAAGTTAATTTTTTAATATATAATAACTAAAAACATGGTAACATTTTTCTCTCTTACATGTGTTTATTTTTATTATTTTTTTCAATGTGTCCTATATAACAACTACTAGTTTTTCTGTAAGATTATATTATTTTTATTTTTTAACATCACATTAAAATATATTTTTAAAAAAATACTTCTTCGTTTTATATTTATTTAATCATAATATTACCAATAACTTGTTTTCTTTAACTATAAAGTGTCACACACAAGTATTTTTTTACAGATACAAATAAATATGGTTACAAATAAATTAAAGACTCGAACACTCTCTTAGTTTTTATTTTTGTTCACTTTATTTAATATGATTATGATTTTTTTTTGTGTTTTTGTCATTTTTTATGATAGTGTTTAAATTGTTAACACAACATGTATAAGATGGACAATTCTTATAAAGTAGCAATAATTTATCTAAGGTGTGCCTTGTGACACAACTCTTATCTTATTCTTGTTCATAAACATTGGAATTTCATGAATCTATGACTGTTAGAGAGACCATCATCGCCATGAGAAACTCCGAAGAGAAGTTCAACAACCCTAAAGAAAGATTTATAGTTTTATTGTGAAAAATGATGTTGAATGAAGACTAATTGAATTTTGTAATGGTGAAAAATGATGATAATAACTAAGTTTAGCGTGAATATGAAAAATGGAATTGATGAAAGAAATTGGGGCATAAGCATACCGATGAATGAAGTGTGTGTGAGGTAGATGATTGTTTATAACATAAAGGAATTAAGAAGTGATAAAAATTTAATTGGGAAGGGGTCAATTTCTTTTATGTAGGTTTAGGGATTTCGCTTGCACGAGGGTTTTGCGATTTACATTCACAATGAAGGTTGAACATTGTGAGTTGATGATTACACAATATAGGATTCACATGGTAGCATGATGATTGAAAATGAAAAGAGTTGGTGTGTCATGGGGTGGAGGAGCGATTAGGGCTTTGCGAGGATAAGTTACAGGTCTTGGTGGTTCGCTTAAGCGTGCTCCAGGTAATTTCAGATAAATTTGGTAAGTGCTTGGCTTTTCGAATATAAAACTGGAATATTGGTGTACATTTGTTTTTATCTCGGGGTGGAAATGATTATGGTGTTTTACAACTAATACAGGCTACCTAAGCAAAAACATCACACTTTATTCAAACAATGTCATCTTCTATCATTTTTTCTAACAATTTAGACATCATCATAAAAAATAACTAAATTAAACAAAATTAACTAAAATAATGATAGATAAGAACCGAATTGAATAAAATAGGAAAAATAAAACCAAAATATAATTTAAGCCTACACTAAAATCTTGGATCTACATTTATTAACAATGTTAATTTTGTGAAGATAAGAAAATAACCAGGAGCAATTTAAAAAATTCGAGACCAAATTAAAAATTTTAATAATAAAGAACTTGAATTAAACAAACAAAATTAAACAATTTAATTAAGTTTTTACCGAATAGAAGATGACTGGTACGTTTTTTTACGTGAACTACATAGATTTTTCAAGAATAGCACCCAAGCAACGTTTATAGCATGTTGGATTTTATTTATAATTAAAAAAAAATCAGTTCACTGAATAAACTCACTGGGTAGCCCACGTGTTGTAGAAGAACATTGCTGAACAGAGTTGAAGTGTTGCCGTGCAAAGAAACGCTGACTCGTAAAACATTTTATTGGTTTCCTTCTTTCCTTCTCGCAGTCCACCACTTTCTGTTGTTCTTGTTATTGTTTTCTCTGCTGCTGCTAGCCTCAGATCTGCCGCTGAGCCGCGGTATCTGATTGTTACTCTTCTTCGAAAGCTTTTCGTCAGAGAATTTGGAAGCTGATACACCGGATTGGAGATGCCGGTGGCTGCTTCCGCTATATACTTCTTGAACCTCCGCGGCGACGTTCTCATCAATCGCCTCTACCGAGACGATGTTGGGTAATATCTATTTCTTTTCTCCTTCGTTCTCCTTCTCATCGCTCAGTGAAGTCAAAGCGAATCATTTCTGTTGCTTATTCTCTTAAATGTTATAGGATTCAGTTTTCAACATCTTTTGTGTTTGGAAAACTGTATTCTGGAAAATAAGTCGTGCTGTAATTGTTCGTTCTGATTACCCTGTAATGTAGCTAGGACCAGTGAATAGCGATAAGTATTAAGGAACTTTTGCTTTTGGAATGCCCTTCTTGGAAACCTGGAACTTGGTGATTGCGCTTGTTGGAAGTTTATTTTTTATTTCGTCTGGAACAATATCACGTCTTCTAACTTATTGAATTACGTTGCAGGGGAAATATGGTTGATGCTTTTCGGACACATATAATGCAAACAAAAGAACTTGGTACTTGTCCTGTGAGGCAGATTGGTGGCTGCTCTTTCTTTTACACGAGGATAAGCAATGTTTACATCGTGATTGTTGTCAGCAGCAATGCTAATGTAGCTTGCGCTTTCAAGTTTGTTGTTGAGGTATTTAACTTCTTGCTACCTCTGTAACTTATCCGATGATGTCTGGCTTGATCAGTTGAAGTACGATTCATGACGTGGACCTTTTTCATTACATCCTTTCTCAACTTTGAGATGAAAGCTTTGCTGTCTATGTTGCTCGGACATTTGATTTCTGTCTTTCGATCTAGAAATTTGATCATCATTAACTAATAGTTATATAAATGATTACACGATTGATATATGTACTCGTTGCAGGCAGTTGCACTATTTAAATCATATTTTGGCGGTGCCTTTGATGAAGATGCAATTCGCAATAATTTTGTACTTATTTATGAGCTCCTAGATGGTATGTAATCATGTGGTGATGAATTAAATTCGTTGAATTTTTATGTTGCAATGCTGAAAGTCAGTTCAAGGGTTTTAGTTTCCAATAATTTCAAAATCTGTCATTTGTTTGAAGAATATTTTCTGGATAAGTTCTTATTTTTCTGTTCAAAGTTTAAGCGAGTGGTTACACTGAAGAGGTAGATGCAAGAAGTTTCTATATGATTTGAATTTTCTTGAAATATTTCATACAGACACACAAGTTAACGTAACTGGGTCTATCTGTTTTGTCAACGGATTGAAACAAAACCAGAGGCTTAAATAGCTGCCCTATAGCAGCATAGTGGCCCCGCCCTCTATAGGGGCTTCCGTAGTGGCTAAAGCAGACCAAATAGTGGCCACAGGGGCACTATGGTGAACTAGGGCTTTACTAGTGAAATGTAACAGAAGGGGCTAGTTTCATATGATTGGATTTGTGAACAGTGCGCTATAGTTTTGCTATAGCAGTGTAGCAGTGTGGAGCAGCCCCTGCCTGCTATAGGGGCTGCCGCAGCGAATCAAATTACAGGCTCATTAGTGGCTGTTGCAGCACTATTCTATGTGTTGATTCTTGAAATTTCTTTGAAAAATGACATTAGGGCTTTTTTGGGATTTCCATTTACAATGCTGAAATCTACAGCTGTAATAGTAATGAAGATGATAAAGAAGACTTGAATTTAAGAGATGGTGGTTTACTATGATTCCTATCTAGGAAACTTGTACTTGAATTTAGTTGTTATTTACTGCATGTTTTGTCTAGAGACACACCTATGATTTTTTTTTATTGATTCTGAATGTCATTAATTGAGTAATTCTTTTGTCATTTTTGAGAATTCCTTGTGTAGAGTATACATTTTTTTTTTAAATAGTGGTTATCTTTCTATAATGTTCTTGGGGCTAATTGCTACATGTTTGCTATCCAGGATTTCAAACACCAGAATAAAATGTTTTTCTAATTCAAACTTGGTGTAATAATAAAATACTAAATAGTATTCTCATGAAAAAAATATTTATCATTTGAATTCAAATGAGTTTATGATAAATATTTTACATATATCTGCAGAAATCATGGATTTTGGTTATCCTCAAAATCTTTCTCCGGAAATCTTAAAGCTTTATATTACTCAGGAAGGAGTGCGTTCCCCGTTTTCATCCAAGGTTAGTCTGCACATGTTACTGTGTAAACAAACACATTGAATTACACGGTGGACTTAGAACTAGCATGAATTACATTGAGATGAAAAAAATTAGAACCTTGGAGAATAGAATATCTATAGTTGCATGAATATATGAACATACCAAATATCATTTTGTTGGAGGGAATAGCGGGACATACCTCACCACAGATATACCTATGCAAAAGGTGATTTCACATGTTACTGGCTCTGTGTGTGCATGTGTTATCTGTCTGTCCACTTGTTTGTTGTTTGAGTTTACCTTTCTTAATGCGATGTATTGTTTAAATAACTCACTAAATCCTATAATTCATCCTGTGCTGTGTGCAATGCTTGGGTGATACAGCCTGTAGATAGACCTGTTCCAAATGCAACTTTACAAGTTACTGGTGCTGTTGGTTGGCGGAGAGAAGGCCTTGTATACAAAAAGAACGAGGCAAGTTGTGTAATATCTTCCATTCTTTATCATTAGTGCCTTTCTGTTGCAAATTACATCATTTATCCATTGCAGGTCTTCTTGGATATTGTGGAGAGCGTGAATCTTCTTATGTCTTCAAAGGGTAGGTCATGAATTTTCCTTGTCTCCACAACATTGATGCTTGCTTGATTGTTTGATAATTGTGATGATTTTAGGTGTTGTTCTACGCTGTGATGTTACGGGGAAGATTCTTATGAAGTGCTTTCTTTCTGGAATGCCTGATTTGAAGTTGGGTTTGAATGACAAGATTGGCCTAGAGAAAGAGTCAGAAATTAAATCTCGTCCTACTAAAAGGTAGTTTTCATTTGAACATGATTCCGAATTTTTGTTTTTTTACATTATCATTTGAAACCCGTGTTTGTCCTGTTTTATTACAGTAGAGAATTGTGTGTTTACCTTTTTTCTTCTAACACGTAGTCCATCTCGTGTGTCGTACTAGGAAGACAATTCATCCTTATGTTTTGTTTGCTCAAATATAATAGTAATATTGTTTTCTACTGTCAACAAAATCCATTTTGCAGTGGTAAAACTATTGAGCTTGATGATGTAACTTTCCATCAATGTGTAAATCTGACAAGGTTCAACTCAGAGAAGACAGTTAGTTTTGTGCCACCTGATGGTGAATTTGAACTAATGAAGTAAGCTCTTACCTTCTCTTTAAATCCTCATAATATATAAAATTTTGTGGACCTACAGCAAACTTCTTACAAGCATGCTTTGGTGGGAAAAAGGAGCAGGTGGATAAATGGATTTATGATTCCTTTCCTTGCTGTTACTCTTCTTGATTAACTATTTTAAAATAACTCTTTGTTGGTTTTTCTGCAAGGCACTTGATAATGTATTTCTTCCTCGATCTTCATCACCAAACTTAAAATGCCACAATGGATTACTGTCATCTCTATGATATGATTTAAGCTTCTAAGGAAGAGTTTTATTTCTTCTATGACACCTCAATAAACCACCAAAAGCGACATTGAAAACATATTGGTTACAACTGCCCAATTTTCATAAATCCAGTTCTCTTTAATACCAAGGAGCTAAGTCAAGGGGTGCATCTGAAATCTGTCTTACAAACATCCATTTGTTGAGTTTATTAGGTTTTCCTTGCCTTTCCTACAGATTTATCTTGTTTGCTATTACCTAATATTGCAATGAAAATGTATCGGGTGCTCATGCCGTTCACAGTCTATTATCATCGCAGTTTCACTTATTTAGAAAGATGATTATGCTTTCTCAGTTGTTGGATTACTTTCTTCTTTTCATAACGTTTGTAGCATTGAAGTGATTCTCATTTTCTGCACAGCATTAGCTTCATCATGAAATTCAAAGGATATTTAGTAGCTCCAAGAAGTATATTTTACCATTTTGCATCACTTGGTTTATAAAATCACAAGTGATTTAGGATCAGGTGAATTCTTAACGGTGCCAGAGGTGGCATCAGTCTTGTCTGATATCTTCTAAGATTATTTTATATTGATAGGTATCGTATCACCGAGGGTGTTAATCTTCCCTTCAAAGTATTGCCCACCATCAAGGAACTTGGTCGAACAAGGATGGAAGTAAATGTTAAGGTTTGAAATTTTTAACGTTGAAGGTCAAATATATTGAATGTCATCTACCCCACATTCGTTTTACCTGTTATTAACATGTTTTTCAGGTAAAGAGTGTCTTTGGTGCAAAGATGTTTGCACTAGGGGTTGTTGTCAAAATTCCTGTGCCGAAACAAACAGCAAAAACGAGTTTCACAGTCACATCTGGTCGAGCAAAATATAATGCAGCTATTGATTGTTTGGTTTGGAAGTAAGAGTCTCACTTTGCTATGATTACTATGTGAAATGGAAGTTATTGAAAGTGGTTTTCCGACCCTAACTCAGCATCTTGAGTAACCTAAATGTATGCTGTTAGTAATTTTATGTTTTAGCAATCATGTTTGAATATGTTACTAATCATGTTTGAAATATTTTATTTTACATAGTACGATAGGATAGGATTCCCAGATTTATTTTCTAATTTAACTTGTCAGGGGTACCATTAAATGTGGTTTTCGGTATTAACATCCTATTCTATTCTTAATTTGTAGACTAAGAAAATTTCCTGGGCAAACTGAGCCGACATTGAGTGCAGAAGTTGAACTTATTTCCACGATGACAGAAAAGAAATCTGGAACTAGACCGCCAATTCAGATGGAGTTTCAGGTTTGTTGTCTGTTGTTTTTACAAATTCCATGAAAATGGCTGGAACGTCTTGATTGTCTTAGAAGTATATGTGAAAGCTTATTCATGAAAATGGTCGGATGTGTAATTTAATCCAGTTTTATTATATAAATGTCAATTACGGAAATTAGTAATCAGGGTTTGGGACCTGTATATTCATTGCTATATTAATCTATATTCAATTCATTCGTCGATCTAGGGGAAATGAAATGGTCTTTCCTTTTCTCTCTCTGGACAATTTTTTTTTTTTGAACTTTCCTTTTTTCTTTTTGGGTAAGCTTAGTGGACATTGGCCTTCTGCTGCGGGGATGACATCTGATCTAATATTTCACATTCTCTTGTTGAGAATCAGTCTCGAAAGAAACACTTTCTTCCTATATAGTAGCTTGACGTACAAGTCTTATATTTCATAATGCAGGTTCCCATGTTCACGGCATCTGGTTTACGTGTCCGTTTTCTAAAGGTAAGGTATCCAACTTGATTTACGAGGCTTTTCTGTTTTTAACATTGATATGGTTTTTGTAATTTACTCTGTGAAGGTATGGGAAAAGAGTGGATACAACACTGTTGAGTGGGTTCGGTATATTACAAAAGCAGGATCGTACGAGGTAAGGTGCTAGCCGTCACATGGGAAAACGTCAGATTAATGGATGGAGATGGAAGCAAAACCAAATAGTTAAATGCACTCTTCTATGCAGTTACCAGTTATAGCTGACTTTCTTCTTAGCATCATCGCATAGAGTTCCGTCAAATGTTTGTGGTTGTTCATGTAAATTCTTAATTGATTCCGTCTCCCTTGTCCACATTGTATTTTATTTTAACGATGAATCGCGCGTTCAGTACTTGTTTTTTTCGCGCTAAAATGTAGGCTTTGATCTATACTGAAGCTCCTCCGTGAAAATATAATTATGGGAGGGAGTTTACTTTGTAAGTATACGATGATTCGTTGCTTCAAGGGAAGAACTTATCTGTGTTAAAAAAAAAGACTCACATAAATAATTTGAATCTCCAATTCATTATGGTTGATTTTGTAGTTGATTTTCATTTAATACTAACCATCTTTAAATAGATCCAAATAAGACTCTGAGCCAAATAAAATCATAAAAACTAAAAATAAAATATTAACTAACTTTAAATAAATTTACTTAATTTATTTTTATTTTATATCAATAAAATAAAATAATATTTTTTGAGAAATTAAAATTACATATTTTTATTTTATCTTTATTATCTAAATTAATAAAATAAGATTTAAATAAAATTATTAATAAATTTTTAAAATTTCCAAGAATAAAAGTTATCACATAACACGAAGAAGGGAAGGGGTTACTATATTCCTATTTTCGTTTGTACAAGGAATATGTTGATGAAATACAACTACGTATAAAAATTTCTTCTCACAATTTCCACTCATAGTTACATATATTGAAGGAATAACATTTTATATATATATATATATATATATATATTCAAACAATATTTTATTTGAATATAATATAATGGTTAAATCATTTTAGATTATAAGCTGGTGAAAATAATCTCGGGACAATAAAATAAAAAGTTGAAAAAAAGAATGAAAAAAATATAATCAAAAGAAATTAATTAAAATGTAAAATTAATATTTAATTAAATCGAAATTTAGATACAATGATGTGTTAGAGTTTTAATTTAATAATTTACATCATAAAAAATATTAAATATAATTACATATTATTTAAGAAAAATTAAAATTTAACTGAAAAATAGAATAATAAAAAATGAAAAGGAAATAGAAAAGGAAGATGGAAGGATGCAGAGCGTGTAGAAAGTGGAGGCGAAGGATTGGTTTGGTTGGGTGTATATAGTAGCCCATGGTATCTCATCTTTCGTACAACGACTGCAGCTGCAAAGTGCAAGCAAACGCGTGCAGTGCAGAGGGATCCTTGGTTCGCTGCAACGAACACCGCGCCTTTTCTCTATACCCTCTTTGATTCATGGGACTGTTCAGAAGGATTGCTGGATTTCTAGGGATTGGAAACCACGATCACGATTCCAAGGATGCCGCCGCCGATGAACACGATGTCCATCCTGGTACGACACCGTATCGAGTCAGAGAAACCGGTCGTCCTCGTAAAGGCTTTAGCGTCCCTGCCCAGGTCGTCGTCGATCGCCACCACGTCCCACCCGTTCTCACTCTCTCTACGTCTGGCGACGGCGGACTTCAGGTCCTTCCTTTCTCATCATTCCAATTCGGTTGGGTTTTATAACCATGCATTTAAATTTTGGGAAACCTAAAAATTCATGTCATGTTAGCGGCACAATTATTGCTTGGATCTTATACCTCATTTGTAATTTTTGACCTTTTTTCTACACAATTTAACTTTACACAAAGGAAAATAGAAAACTTGTGTGCTTACTTTTGTGTGAGATATCAAGGCTCTTGTGAATTTTTGGGACTGTGCAGAGGATAGTAATATCTTTTCATTGTTTCAAATTCTATTATTAAGATTGTAAATAACCCGAGTCTATAGTTCCTGTGTTGAGTATTTGTGTATGTTCGTACGCGACAAATGGATCCCTTTTTTCGATTGGAACTCCAATGAACAATTATTTTAAAATGGTACTTCCCAGGGTCTTGAATAAAAAAAAATGGTCAGTTTAGTTTAATTGTTCTTCATTTGGAACATAGACATTTTTCCTAAACTACATAAAAATAAGGGAATCATTGTAATAAAATCTCAATTAGACGGAAGACAGATAGGTAAAGTTAGTTCGAATTTGCTTACGCTTAAATTCATCTCTCAAACTTTTTTATCTCTTATATATGAGATTGAAAGGAGTATCTTATAATGTTTGTGTTTGGGTAAGATAGTGCAGCTCTTGGACTTCCTACCTCCGAAGCTGAAATTCAAGTTCTAGATGTTGTATCGTTTTATTTAAGTTATATCTTGTGAGGATGTTATGATATCTGATTTCATCAGGGAAAGAGTACATTGGTATGACTTTGTAATGTTGCAGTGCCATTGTGGATAACTGCCTTTGTCTTTATTTTCTTACTTTGTGCTGTTAATGAGGATCACTCTTTTTTTCTAGCTGATAGGGGAAGCGGAACACTTTTGTAAGCTTAAGAATGAAATTGACAGCATTTGGCTTTTATTTGTACTTTAACATAGCAAAATTAGGTTGGAGGTGTCCTACCATTGGTGGAGGGGTGATTCTTGTCATATTCCACTAGAATTAGTTCATCTATGTGTAGTGTTGGAGTTTAAATCTGCCGTCAATGTTCCTCGATTACATGAACGGATGTACTTTACATTCCTCAACCCAAACACAAAGACGAGTATGGGGAGGGGATTATTTAAAACTTGAATTGGTAATGGCAAATTCTTAGACGGTTCGCGTTGTACCATATCTTGTTTCAAAAGTAGCTATCAAATCTGTTCTGCTCATGATCAGCGGATCTTATCCTTGTTTCATGATTGGGAGTTGTCATTACAGCTTTTTTTATGCCCAACTTTTTGGCAGATAGCTTCTATTATTACAGTTACAACATTTGGACGTACTATGTACGAGTTAGGAAAAAATAAACAGCTTGAAGTTAAGACAAAAGACTCCAATCAATGATAGATGAAAGAGGGGAGGGGAAATATAGTTGCAAACTAGGGATTTTGGGGCATTCATGACCTTATGCTTGTGCTTTTACATTTTCTTTTGTCTCCATTGCCTAGTAGTTAAGTCTGAGAGTATCGTGGTCAGATAAATTTTCCTTTGTCTAGTAATTTACTGCCAGCAGGTGTTTAATATTTTTGGGCTGTTGTGTTTCGCTTCATCAGGGTCTGAGTTGGTATACTAAGCATCTTACGATGGACGAAGATGGAGATGTGGCTGATGAATTCCTTGAAGAGGTATTGTCAGTGATGCCAGAAGGACTTGGAGAAGATCGTCATAAAACACAAGCAAGGTTTAAATCGAAGAAGGGGACCAAGGAAGTAAGAGTGAACAAACAGATCCTATTAGATGGGAAAATTATTCTTCATTGTGTGGAACACCAGGGCAGATTGTAGTAAACATTGGTTCGGATATTGGTTCATTCGGCTTTTTCTGTTTAGTTGTGCATACTGTGGAATCTGTAGTTAAACACTAACATTTTAACTGGGCTTTACTTCATGGTTCCTTTTTGCATTTTAGCTGTCTTTCACTAGCTATGAATATATGTTTGGGAATTGCTACACTTGATGAAAACATGTGGGAGTTAAATGTACAATTTAAAGAAGTTAATGGTACCCAACAAATTTAACTTCTAAATCTCATGTCCAAGCTACATTACAGTGGCTGGCAAATTTGTAGGTCTAGCGGTTGTATTTGGTAGACATTGAGTAATATAGATGGGTATCTTGGCTGAGAGGACCACGTGTGAGATCTGCAAAGAAGCTATGAACTTTAACAAGTGGATTTAAGTGTAGTTCGTTGTGAATTATGAGTCTCCATTAAGTACTGAAATCTTGGACGTACTATTCTTCTAACTAATTGACAGTTTGTACTTGTTATTCCTTTTTGGCTACTATTAGCTAATGCTTAAACTGTTGCTATGCTTATTAAATTAATTGAAGGAAATTTAATTTGAGAAAAGTTGCAATCGATTGTAACGGATCGGCTTACCATCTGAATGTTTAAAGAATACTGAGTTTTCTGTTTGTTGTTCAGCACTTCTGCTCAAGGAGGGCATCTTGTTTGAATGCAAGGTTCTCGACCTTTACTAATCTTCTGGGTTGATGTACAATTGTAACGTGGTTGGCCTATTTAGAACAATTGACTTGGTTAGTTGAAAAATTGGCCAAAAGGAACGATAGAAATTATATATCTTGTTTAAAAATTGGTAAGAACATAGTCCTATGGGTAAGGGGATGTCGTTCAAGGTGGTATTTCATATGGGGTTAACTTGCTACCATTAAGTGTGGTTACTGAAAAAATTGTTGTTGCAAGTGATTTATCATGTGAAATTCTTACTTAAAAAGTCTAGAATTCCATTCCTGATTTAAAAATGAAGTTATAACTTGAGGTTTTATTTTATTTTTAACAATGTATCAACTTTACAAGAGGAGAAATATCAAATACGTTTTCAATATGTAAAATAAATGTTTGATTTGACCCAAAAATTTGTGCACATTAAATCATTGAGATGAATTAACCTGCATTAAATATTACAATGGTATTAAAATGGACTAGAAGAATATGAAACATGAATTCCAAAGTGGCCAATGGTTTTTATTCCATATTGTTCCTCTTCTTTATTTTTTTACACAACCAAAGTCAAGACATTTCATTGATCACTTAATGATAAATACATGGTGGCATGTGGTGGTAAACTTTGAGTCTAGCATAGTGTGTTGCTTCTTTTGAAAGAGAATGACAATCGATATTAACTTGTCTCTGTACAAAGTTAGCCATATAGAATATATGTCTGAGTGAGTTTTGAAACTCAGATACCTACGCTTCATTTTTTCTTCCAGAATCTGTGTTTGCTATGTTGACTTTATTTACTACCAGCCCAGAATCCAACTACTTTTGTTCCACATTAATGAGCCACTCTATAACTTCTAATTAGTCATCTTCTTACTCCCTAATATATTTGTAAATTTTAAAATGACAAAAAATCACGTCTCTGAGTTTACACCTATATACGAATTGTAATTGTTTACACCCTTTAGTTACACCTGTACCAATTAAAGAGACTAATGCATGAGATTTCTACCTTTCAGTTTGAAAAAAAAATTATTTTTCATCAA